CATGCCAACAGTATGTATTTATTATTCATGAGCAGTCAAGACTTACAAGGGCTGTTATCAGTATAACCATGTATGAAATATCACTTAGCAACATGGAGTGAAAAGGACAGTTATATGTTTATATTAAAAAAATACACATACACACTCTCAAGTGCATACCGTACACTGCTACAAGAGCAGGGGGCATCAGGCTGCAGAAGTTCTGCTATACATAACATATTGAAGGACCTCAAGCATAAAAATTGTACTTAAGTTGCAAAAATAAAATTTCTTTCTTTAAACATTTGATCTGAGCTCAAGCAAACAATGAACACCAATGATTTGACATAATTTCACACATTGAAAACAACATACAATAGTCAATAGCTGCAAAAACCAACCCTGAAAATATGAAAATTATAGGAGTGAACAATGCATTTAATTGAAAACAAGTTTACAGCAGATCTGGTACATCCTGGCTCTCAGATACTTAAGAATCTTAATTTTATTCAAACTACAAATTAAACCAGAACAAAATGATAGATAAAAATCATTAATGCATACAGGGCATCAGTGTCCTCTTAAGTTTCTTCATACACCTGCACTAGTGCAAGCGCATCATTTACCTGAAAAACCATAGTCACAAACTGAAAGAATACTCATACAAAACTATTTTCTTCTTTAAAAAGTGCCACATACCATATATCTCATTAAAACAAAAAACCACAAACACACATAAACTAATGAAAAACTGTCTGTCTCCACCTCTTATCAATAAGGAAAGGCCAGAGTGACTCCTTAATTCCAGTTCGAAATGGTGTTCGCGGGCTGATGCCTAAGGTCTCCAATTTGGAGCAGTCGAGCTGAGCATTTCTTGGACGTTGTGCTCCTAGGATGGGGCTGTCAGTAATAGGTCGTAAGTGGCTGCTGGGCAAGTTGAAAGCATCAGCAATCGCACACGCCATTTCATACTTTGTCATCTGCTCGTTGCCAGACCAGTGGAATGTTCCCTTAATTGACGGATCCAGCATTCTCTTCTCCACCAGCTGCCGACACACAGTGGCTACATCCTTGACATGAGTGGGGAACCTCTGCTGCCAGTAGTCCATGTTTGCAGACTTGTTGCTGAACTGCACTTTATCAAACATAACAGTGACAGCGATTTCTTCGAGCTTTACAACCTCCCCGTACAGAACAGGAATTCTCAAAACAGCAGCTCCTAAATTATTCTCCAAGACGGCCTTTTCTCCTTCCAATTTTGTTTTGCCATATAAATTTAGGGGGGCTGGTATGTCTTCCTCTCTGTAAGGTGGATTTGTTCCATCAAACACATAATCTGAGCTAATGTAGATAAGAAATGCTCCAACTGCAGCTGCTTCCTTTGCTAAATTCCCAGAAGAATCCACATTAAACTGAGAAGCAGCATCTGTATGATTCTCTACAACATCCGGTCTTCTCTCTGCTGCACAATGTACTATGACATGGGGCTGAAAATCGTGAATGATGTGATGAACTGCTTCAGAATCCAACAGATTAACCTGTTCAAACTTTGACCTTGCTCTTCTAAAACCACAACCAATCGCATGCCAGTTGTTCTGCTGGAATTCTTTGTACACAGCTCTACCTAGAAGCCCAGTGGCACCAGTTACTAGAACCCGCCTGCTGGGGATGTTCACTTCCTCCTCCACCAGCTGGCAGTAGCCGGGCACGAAGTGGATGGACAGCTCCTTCTTGCGCCCCACCATGCCTGCAGACCCTCCGTCGCGGCCTGGCTGCACTGCCCCACGAAGAAGTTGGCGCACCGCAGCACCGTCGCCCTCGGCCCTAGCATTGTTTTGGCTAGGATGAAGTGTGTTAGTGATACACCCACCCCCGGGCAGGTAATCTGCATAAAACAT